GTCACTGTTGTGGGGAAACAGAAAGTGGAATGATTTCAGGGATATTTTCAACAGCCAAGCCTAAAAGGGGTTTGAATCACTTCTGTTAATTTCCCATTGGCCAGAACTTAGTCACATGGCTCCAATCTACCTGCAAGGGAAACTGGGAAACAGGAGGAGCAGATGGATATGGATAGTGAGCACTAACAGTCTCAGTTACATCTCCAATCAACAGACAACCCAGATCAATTAGTCAGATTCCTTGTTTCCTGGAAGTTTTTCTTAGTCCAAACTCCACATTCCTAGGGAAGAGACCCTGGCCCAGCTTGGGTCAGATATCCACTGTGATCCAACCTGCTTTGTCTTAGAGAGAGGGCCATGTTGAACAGAATAGCTTCCAGGTTCCCACCAGTTTTAACATGTGACTCAAATGTGGAAGGGAAGGACAATACTCAGAAAGAGTCGTCCCTTCAGACAGTTTGTATCTACTGCCTGGAGTTACGTTTCATTTCTGAAGCCTCTGAGAATCAGTATCTCTCTCTCTTATGTTGCTTCTCAATAATGGTATGCGTGCTTTATGTAATTCTTTATTTTAAAGATGAAAATATAGTAAACCTGCTTGGAAGAGTTAAGGCTTACTGCTTTTCTCTCTAGATAATTGTATACAAGACGTATCTCTGGAAATAAGGCGCCTGAGTTGTTAGGGTGGTTACCATACATATGAATGTGGACATCTTTTTTCCTGATCTCTGTTGACAGCTTCTAGAACACAAAGGTGGCACTGGAGTCCTTCCACATGGACCCCTAATCGTAGACATTAGCGTTGTTCCAAATATTTCTATTCTCCCTTTCTTCCGGATATGTGGTACGATTGTATTTCCCTGCCTCCTTTGTAATTAGGTGTGGATATATGACTTGCTTTGGCTTATGAAATGGAAACAGAAATGACATGTGTCACTTGCAAGTGGAGGCTTTAAGAGCCAGTGTGTGATTCACTGTATTTTCTTCTCCCATCTGGGGTAATTGTAAAAGCACATGCTGAGATGGACTAGCTCAGCCTGGATCTTCCTGCCTACCCGTGCTGGGCATTTAGCATGAGTGAACAATCAACTTTCATTGTGTTGAGCCACTGAGACTTTGGGGCTGTTGTTTGTTACTGTAGAAAGCCTAGTCCATTCTTTCTACTATACCCTCATTTGTAGCCATCCATACCGCAGGGGACCTCTATCAATGTGCACCGATATACCAATCATGTGGCAATCCTGCTCAAAGCAGTGTGCTCTTTCTCCTCTGTGCCATCCCTAGGAGGGCCAGCTGTGTGGTTTATATCGGCTTGGTAGTGATTGTGACACTTGAGTCTATTTGCATGGTCTCTTATTGCAAACGCCATATGAATTATTCAGCCACAGGTATTTTAAACTGGAAAATCTTTGGATGTGGAAGACCACAGAGTAGATTATATTTGAAATAAATATTTAGACACTCTACACTGCTGCCACCTTCCAGCAGGATAGGCTGATTCACTGTGCTTACCACAGACTGCCAGCACAGACTATGCTTTGTTAAACATGAGATAAAGATGAAGTGCTAAATGGAGAGCAAGGATGAGCATGGGACACTGCTGTGGCTCAGGACTGACAAAGCCTGCTTGTCTTGCTGCAGCAGCTGTGACATCCTTCACAGGGTCCAGGCTAATGAGCCACACGTTACTTACTTTCTAACAAGCTTTGCTTAAAGATGTTCTCAGGTTCAATCAAGAATCAGGCCAACCTGATTACTTGTTACAGGACACATTTTACTTTCGTCATTAAAGATAAGAGAATTAAAGATGTATATGGAGATAAAGAGGAAATTCTAAGAGCTCCTTCAATACAGGTAGGACCCAGCATATGACCAAACTGAATATCTAAAAATCTTAGGTAAGGTATTAATGGCACAAGCTAAGGAGAATCTTGAAGATACCAGAGGTGAAGGTAATGTAATGAAAACTGTCTCAGAACAGCAAGAAGGGAGCCCCTCAGCTGATGTCACAGTCCTGAACCCAAACACTTGATTGTGCAGCTCCTCCTCACCAATACCCCCACTTGGCCTGAATACCCCCAAATTATGGTTTTGGAACTTCTCCAAAAAAGGCTTAGCGCGTTCTTTGCTTGCTCTACCCCACTCTGATGATTAATACAAGGCCTGTCTTAGGCTCAGGGCCGCAGCTAGCCCACAGCCTGTGTGCAAATGGGAAAAGATGTCTCATCTCCCTTGTAGATACTGCTGTAAGCCAAGGTGTTCTGCCTGGAAACCAGAGCACAGATCACGCTTTAGAATCCACTCATCGTCCTGGCCTGACCCTGAAGCACAGGGCCCATCTGCAGTCTGTACCAGCAGCCCTACCCATTTCCCCCGCTATCCTTAAATTCCTTCATTGTCCAACCTGGGAGCTGCAGTGTACAAAATTTGGCACAAAATTCCCCAAAGAAGCTTTGATGATGATGATTAAGAAGAGGAAGAAGAGGAAAAGAATGATAGTATTATATGATTATTATGATAATATATTATTATATTATTAATGATAATTATAATTATGTGACAATAATAATTATTAATTGTTAGTCATCAGTAATATGATTATTATTATGGCACTTAGGTATGGCATACTCCCAGAAAAGCCAATTTAATGACTAATGCTGTTAAATTCTCATACTAATCATTTTGGTTTAAATTCATGTTTCTGGGAGCAAGGATTAAGGATGGCTCAAATCTCAAATGGGAGGAGAAAGGAAAGCATGAGAAGGAGATGAAGGAGGAGAAAGAGAGGGCAGAGTGTTAACTTCTTTCTTAGGTACATATTGAAATTAGTGATGTTTATTTTGGGCATTTTTTTTTATCCTCTTTCTACTCCTCTTCTAGGATGTCCTGTGCTTCATTGTACACACACACACACACACACACACACACACACCCTGCCCCACTTGCAGAAGGGCGCTATGTTCTAGAATTGTCTACTTTTCTTTTCCCATTGTAGGAGAGGAATAAATTTTCCTCTACCTTCAAGGTTATTTTAGCTGATTCAATAATCAAATAGACATAAAACAGATTAGATGAGAAAACCAAATTTAATACATACATAGATGGGAAACCCACATGCATGAGAGAGTCAGAGACCCCACATACATGAGTGGTTCAAAATCAGAAAGAGAAAGTGTGGTATATATGACCTTCTGAGCTAAGGATGAGGTAAAGTGCCCTGGGGGCTTCAAATGGTCATTGAAGGATGATAAGAATTGTGGATATTTAGTAATGAGAAGTTTGCCCTGACCTATAGATGGGTTAAAATAAAAAAGGTTATCTCTGATAATCCCTTATTATGGGCACATCCTCTAATTCAAATTCTTCTAGGTAGTTAAGTGAGGGCAGAAGTGTCTCTTGAGCCCACAGGTTCTTGGTTACCTTAAGCTAGAAACAATCCACATACCACCAAGGCACATCTTGGGGTGACTCATTTTAAACCCCAACACCAGCAAACAAAATTCCATCTTCCTGGTATAGCTGGTTTGTAAGAAGGGAAGCATCTGGCTGAACCAGACCATATTAAGATAAAAATAACTGATGATCACAGAGCTTTCCTAGAAGGCTTCACCCTCTCTTTTTATATTTATTATTTATTTGTTTTCAGATGTTTGCCAAAAAGAAGGCTCATTCCTGGCTGGATATTTGCTCCTGGAAATAGCTCCCTTGAGCTGTTCCTGCTTCCTATAATTTCTTCCCTCTTTTCCCTTAGGTACTTCTGATTTTCTAGAGACTATAATTTTTGTTTTTTTCCTGTAATGATTCCTTTACAAGAAAAGCAGGGGCCCTGGTGGTAGGGCCATCTTATGGAGGGGGCAATAGAAGTTGTGTCCATTTTTTAGTTGGCGACGACACATACTAGGGTACAAGGCAGGTTTTGGGGCAGTCTGGGGCCTTATGTGGATATCATCCATCCATACCCGGCAGCAGTACACACTCTAGGTCCAAAAGAACAATCTGAAGAAAAAGTGTTTTCTGTAGTGAGATATTCCTGATTAGATCTGAGTCAAACACGAATCAATGCAGAAAATGAGAGCAGTACAGTGCGCATAATATTACTGTCAGTGTATCCTTTAACTGACATTGAGTTGCCTGAAATTTTACATTATGGGAAATTATCTTTTTAATTAAATGACTTCATAGTGAATAACATTGTGCTATAGTGAATACTAATGATAGCCCCGTTTAAAACACAGTATGATGTGGGAAGAGAAAGTTGCCTTTTAATGGATCCCCAATTATACCTGAGTCACTATTACTGGAGGTTAATAAAGACAGACTCGTTCTTAGAATATCGATCCTCTGAGTCTGTGGAAAGTACCAAAAATACAATCTTGGCATCTGAAGCAAAGTAAATATATTCTTTTAATTCATATTTCAGGACTTCAGTAGGAAATCACTCGAGTTGCATATCAAAAGGTTTTTGCTAGACTTTCCCCAGCTTCTTGTCTCGGCTTCATTTGCACAGACATAAAAGGAATGTGCTGATCTTTTTATTTTTACTTTAAAAACAGAAATTGGAAGAACTCGTTGAGAATATTTGATACAACTAAGCCGAAGAACAAACAGTCAGAGGAATTGTCTCCTTGGAATCAAGTTTGGGTTGAGGGAGGGCTTACTCAGCAGCGTTATGCCGCCCTGGGTACTCAGTGCTCTCCAGAGAGACCAATATCTGCGGGCTGCTCAGTGGGAGGGGTGACTACGTCATTAGTCCTTGGGTTTAAACAAAGGGGGCCTACAATGGCTATTTTGTTTTCTGCTTTGCAGTAGGACAAAGCTAAAGAGTGTGCTACTCATGATTAATTCTGGAGAAAAAAATTCCATGCAACTGGAATTTTTTCCAAAATTTAAAACAAAACAAACAATATTTTCAACCATATCCAAACCCGCTTAGGACAACTGACATTGTGCAGTGTGGAGAGTGCTAAGGATAATGTGCTGTTTGTTCTCATCCTTTTCAGGGCCTCGCCCTCCTGGCAAATTTCAAGGCCAACAAAAGACAAAGGCAGAAGCAAGGCTGCCCCTGGACCAATGGTGAGTGGGCAGTGTTGGGTGGAGCACAGAGGGAATTGAGGGGTGGGGGGTGAGGGGCAGCTCACCACTGTAAGCTGTGGGACCCTGAATCAGTCACTTAACCTCATAGATCTCAGCCTCTGCATCTGTAACATGGGAGACTGGACTAGGTCAGGGGTCTCAACCTTCTCGGTAAGGCCTTCCCTGATTACCCTTCCCTGATTACTGAGGTTGTATTTCTACTTCCTTTTCAGTATACCGGTTACAACTCCCTAACCATGACATTCTCTTAAGCATAATACTTATTCAACTTTCTTATTCATAAGTCTTATTTATATTTTATCAGCACCTGCAGAATTTCAGGTCTGATAGATGTAAATTGTAATTTACTCCCTCCATGGATAGCTGGGAAAAGAGAGAAATGGAGGTTGAACATAGAAAAGGGATTAAAACAGAGACAAAGTCGGGATTTTTGAAATGAAAATTTGGGCAGGACCAAGGAAGACAAGCACTAATAATCTGGGCTTTGGAAGTACCTCCTGTGGCATCCGTGGGGAAGGAAAGGAGAGAAACACATGTATCAGGCACAAAGTTACCATGGACATATTCAGGGCTGCAGAACTCTGGGTATTGGGGCAGGTCAGTTCTCAAAGGCTTTTCCATCTCAAGTCTCTGGGACCCAGATATTTAGGAGGCAGGCCAAGACTGGAGTCAAACTTCATCTTAGGCTTGAGTCTCCCCCAAAGCAGACTTAAAACAAGGGTTTTAATGCAAGCAGTTTGTTTGGATGTGATCCTAAGAAATCAATACAAAGCGTTAAGGAGCACATTACTGTTGTGGTCAGCTAGAGACCTCTGGTACACAGTGTAGAACCCACCTGAGCCTTCCTACCTGAAGGGTGAGAGCTGGTGAATTTTTCCTCCAACTCTTTTTTGCTCCTGGAGGCAGTAAGCCAACACTTTCAGCCTGAACCCTTACCCCTCAGTTTGCCCCTATAGCTGAAAAACGCCTTAAGGCAGAGTCGCAGATACTTGTAGTAGGAAGTCCCTAGTGTGTAAGAAATATGGACAGGAAAATAGTGTGTCTGATAGAAGCCACCAAATCACAAAATAAGAAAGAACTTGAACATTCAGAGGAGGACCAACCCCAGGAAGAGTTTTTCTCACTATGGTCATTTTTAGCAATCCTGTGAAATGATTTATAAACATCTTATTGAAACTACAAAAAAAAAAAAAAGAGAGAGATCCTGAAAAGCATCTTGCTAGTGAGTATAAAATTGTAAAGGGTTGAACATTCGTGTAGTATTCACGTTATTAAGATGTATAAAAGTCTTATATTTTCATATAAGAAAACATAATTCTAATGGTTTGCAAAGGTTTACTCCAAGCATCATTTCCCCTAGCATCATTTCCACCATAGGGATTTAAGTTATTGAACCTCAGGTCCTTCTGCTTCAGAGTTCTTTTTTTCTTTCTTTCTTTTTTTTAGTTTCAGGTGTACATAACAATGTAATAGTTAGACATTTCCACCCTTCACAAAATGATAACTCCCCCCACCCCCAATCTACTTTCCCTCTGATATCGTATACAGCCATTACAATTCCATTGACTCTATTCCCTATGTTGTACTCCACATCCTTGACCATATATATATATATATATATATATATATATATATATATATATATATATATATATATATNTATATATATATTTGTAGTTGACATTCTGTATTATTCAGCTTCAGCTTCAGGTGTACAGCGCAGTAGTCAGACATTGAGACAGTCCATGAAGTGGTCTCCCTAATAAGACAAGTGCCCATCTGACCTCCTAGAAAATCTTTATGACATTATTGATTATATCCTCCAAATTGTATTTCATATTCCCATGGTTATAGTGTGACTACTAACTTTTACTTTCTAATCCTTTTACCTTCTCCCCCATCTCCACCCCCCTCCCATCTAGCAACCCTTAGTTTTTTGTTTTTTGTTTTTTTCACCTATATCTCTGCTTCAGAGTTCTTAGGAACATGGTCTCCATGGTTGAGGAGCCACTATTGTACAGCCTTTTGTTATTTCGGTTTGTATTGATATTGTTCAACCCCATTAGAAAATGAATTCTCTATAGTGATGCAGCTCTCTGAATTTTTCATGGCACCAAGAACAACCCCTTGAACATAGTAGTTCTTCAGTAATCTTGTTGATGCCATCCTAAATTTTCTTAATGGTTGTGCAATTGTATTCCCAAAACTATTAGGGAAATGATGTAAATTTATAAGGGAAAAATATATCTTGATGACAAATGGTCAAAGATATGAGTATTTCACACATGGGGAAGAAGTTCATACAAGAACAGTAAACAGATATGAAACAGATATGTCAGGCTCCTCTAATAACTTGATTCGGTGGACTCTATTGTCTGGTTTGACCAGAGCCCTTCCATTGGGCCCCTTCTTTGGATTAATGCTTTCATTCCACCTCAGACAGTCAGCTCTGACAGGGAACATCTGTTATAGTGCCCAATTCTCTGGCCACAGCTGATTAGTTTAGGAGTGAGCAACTGACCCAAGCCAGGCCAATAAGACTCCTTCCCTGGGAATGTAGAGTTGGTAGACATTCAGTCACCATCAATATGAAGCATGGGAGCTCCTGGTGGCCAAGTTTTCTATTATGTGGAGGAAGCCAGGTTGAGAAAATGAAACCAATGCACAGAGAAAAGCAGAGGCCAGAGACAGAGGGAGGAAACAAGCACCCAGCTATACTTCTACCTTTCCTTTCTATAAAAGTTTGAGATTTTTTTACTTGAAACCAAAGGCTCCATCTATTACAATGGAAAAATCCAAATGTAAATAAATGTAATGTAGGAGCCTAATGTAGGATCCAATCAAATAAGAACAACAATACACAAAGATGAAAGTTTAGCGGCACCTGATAATTCCAGAGTAATGCTCTTTTTCTGGAAAGCATCTTGGACACACATGACATGAATCAGAGACTAAACCTTTAAAAGACTTCACAACCCTGAGCTTATAATTCCACGATTAATAAAAATGCTCACTTTGTCCAAGTTATGATTTGAGTGGATGAAAAGAAGGAAATTCGCTTTTATTGAGTTTTAGAATGTAACAAATATATGCTAAGAATCACATATAATAATAACTAACATTATTGAATACTCACAATATGTTAAGCAAAGTTCTAAGGGTTTACATGTATATATTATCTCATATAATTCTCAAACTAATCATATGAGGTGGGTACTATTATTATTCCTATTTTTAGATGAGGAAACCATGCGTTGGAGAGGTTAAGTAATTTGCCCAAGTTCACAGAAAGGGGAAGGGGAAGAACCAGAATTCAAACACAGGCAGTCTGCCAGTGCTCAAACCCTTAACCATAAGTTGTATATTACCTTATTTAACTTTGGAAAATGTAACATATACCTAGGATATAATTCAAGGGAAAGAAAAGGCATATGGATATGTATATAAGCACTGATTAATATATCTAAAAACTAGAAAAAGCCCACATACATACCTGTAGGGAAATAAGAAGACAGCAAATATGACACATTGATGCAATAAAACAGTATATTTCTGGTAGGAATGAAAAACATGAAAAACAAAAAATAAGTAAAGGACTATAGAAAACAATAACATATAAGAAAAAGTATAATTCAGAATGATAAATACTGGTTTCTAACAATTACACACAATTAGTTGTATGCAAGCAGTAGAATGAAAAAGTCTTCAGGATTTATGAAAACATGGAAATTTGAGATTTTTTTTTAGTAAGATCATGTTGTTATTGATACATAGGTATTGCTATTTAACTTTTATTGTAAAGTTGATTAACTGCCCAATTAAAAGCAAACTTATTAAACATTTAAAGTAATATTAATGGAAGAAAATAAAAGGAGAGGTTTGTGAGTTTAAAAATGATTTATTAGGAAAGCCTCATTTGAGGAATAGAAATAAAAATGGGAAGGACTGTAAAATATACTAAGAAGAGAAAACGGTAAATAAAAAGGGTAAACTCACATCTTCTTACCTGTCCTGGATCTGTTGCAGTCCTACCTGTCCCTTAAAGTCCTGCTCCAGTGCCACCATCCAAAAGTTCCTAACCAAAGCTTTCTCTGAGCAAATGTGGTACTTCATTAGTCTCTTGCATGGTGCTTGCATCTTTCCACCTTGTTTTATAGCTGTGGACTTGTTGCCTTCTCAGCCATAAGCTCTACAAAGGAAGCAACCATGTACCTGCACCATCTTTGTAGGCCCAGTTGTCCCACATAATGACACATGGTGGTGACCAACATGTGTTTGTTAGATGAATAAGTATTCTTATAAGAGTAAAGAGACAAAAAGACTTGAAATGCACAGTTGTGAACAATAAGCAACTGTGATTGGGAATGTTAGAATGGTTGTCCTTAAGTTATTTCTTCTGCCAGATTGAGGAAGTGAGTGATGTAGCTCTGATGAGCTCCAGGAGGATGGCAGAAGCATAAGGTGATTTGGATTTGATGAGCTCTGAGGCTAATATATCTGGAGATGATGAAAACAACCTTAACCCCTGATTCATGATTACAGTTGGCAAAGAACATTAAAAAGAGAAAAGTTGCAGAAAGAGTAATTGGGAATAGAAATTCGGGAAATTTCAGAGGTATTATCCCAAAGAAGTCTTATGGTCTTTCCCTCATAAAGCCCGAGGTCCTTCTTTTTTATGGCTGTTTAAAAAAAGCTAAGTTTTCTGTTTCCACCTCCTTTAATCATAGTGTGTTCATTGGAATGAGCAAAGTGGATTGGACATTCTCTCTCTCTCTCTCTTTCTCTCTCTTTCTCTTTCTCTCCCCCTCCTTCCCTCCCTCCCTCTCTCCCTCCCTCCATCCCTCCCTCTCTCCCTTTCTTCCTCTCTTCCTCTCTTCCTCTCTCCCTCTCCCTCCCTCTCCCTCTCTCTCCCTCCCTCCCTTATACACACACACACACACACACACACACACACACACACACACACTCTTTCTCTGTCATGCC